AGGTAAAAAAACAAAACTGAAATTTATTAGATAATTATTAATTAAAAAATGTGACCACAAATTAAAAAATTAAAATAGATAAATTTGTCAATAAAGTTAAAAAATTCTAATCCGCTAGCGGTTTGGGACAAAAAGCTACATAAACTAACTTTTTCAATCCGCTAGCTATTTGGAGCCTAACCGCTATCCGCTAGTCTCAAACCGCTAAATAAAAATTTTACCAAACACTTTAGTTGTAACGGTTTCGAAATATATAAATTTACTAAACACTTATATCTAGCGGTTTAAGTAAAACCACTAACCATTACCCCCAAATCGTTATACCAAACGGGCCGAAGTTGAACGTAAAAAATCTTCTCTATTTAATAGTCCTTATGGTTTAATGAAATTTGAATTGTAAAATAGTGTTTTCATAAAATTAATCTCAATTTTTTGTAATTTTTTATGTAAATTAATTATAAAAAATATAAATTTATTATACTATTAATATATTATATTATATTTTATATTTTATATTTTATTTTAATTAAATTTGATATAAAAATTTATGTAAGATTATTATAAATATTGCAATTTAACTTATATTCCAAGTACATATATTAAAAATATCGTAAAAGAAAATAAAATAAAAAATTAAGATACACATTGTATTTTATATATTTAAGATTATAATTGCATATTTTAATTTTTTGTTTGATAAATTAAAATTAGTTTATAATTTAATATTTTTAAATATCATAATTAATTATTTATATAAAAAATTATAAATTAATAAAATATTAATTAAATTAAATACAATTTATATGATTGTACATCATTATTATGTATGCCATAATCATACCATTAATTAATAATGACAGATATATATACATATTTTTTATTTGATGATGGGCCTTTCATAAATTCTTTCCATCTTTTCGAAAATCGGCTTAACCTCGTAACCGCAAAAATATTACTACTCCAGGAATCATAATAAATGAATTATATAATTTTTTTTATTTTAATTGTATTATAAAAAATAATTATTTTTTATCTCTTAATTTACTTTATTTGTATATTATGTGACTTAAATTTAAAATTTTTTATTTTAGATAAAAAAAATAACTGAATTATTTAAATTATTGATAATAAATAAATTATATATATTTTTATCTTAATTACATAATAAAAAATAATTATTTTTTATTTTTATTTTATATTACTTACATATCATAAAATTTAAATTTAAAATCCCTTGTTTACTAGCAAAAAGAGATACTATGAGTTACTTAAGTTTATTGGCATAAT